GAGTAGGAGCTGGGCCTGCTCTCAAAATGCCTTGACCACTCCCCATCTCGGTTTCCTCCATCTCTATGTGAGGCTCAATATTCTATACCCGCCTCTTGGGGGGTTTTGTGAGAAGCCCCTGAGATAACATGGGTAAAGTGCGTGTCCACACAGAATGTGCAGGAAAGAGAAAACAGGTCATTTTGTTGTTATGACCACTCAGCCTAACAGGGAGTGACAGGTCAGAGTGGGCTGCAAGCAAGCTCTGTGACTGAGCCATGTGATCCTGGGGCGTGACTGTACCTTGGGCAAGATGGGCATGGTAGCTGTCGGGCTGGCGTGAGGCTAATGAGGGGGCACATGAGAGACCCTTGGGATGGTGCCTGGCCTGTAGCTGGCAGTCAACAAGTGGTGGCTGTTGTCGTGATCTTTGGGGCTGATTCTCTGCAGACAACAGCAAGAAAGCACGTGACTGTTGGATGGCCTAGGAGGAATCCTGTCTAGGTCTCTAGCCTTTGGTAGAAAAACATGGAAGTCAAAGGCCACCGTCATTGTCAAAAGGAGGTCAAAGAGCGTGAATCAGAAAGCTGGCACCGTGCTCCCGAGTTAAGTCTTAGCTCTGTGGCCTTAACAGATTGCATGACCCCTACCATGCATCATCCATTCATGTATTCATCCATCTGTCTGTCCATTTAACATAAAAAAGTACTGAGCACCGACTGAGTGCCAGGCACTGTTCAAGTTACCGGGGCCACAGGAGTGAGCAGGATAGCTATGGTTTCTGCTTCTTGGAGTTGAAGTCTGAAAGAAGACACAGACGAAGCATGGACTGTGTTACCGCCAGTGTGACCAGCACAGGATGGGGCAACATGGGGCGCGGGCCTCCAATCCAGCCTGGGCAGTCAGAGCCTCAAATCCCTGTTCTAACAAAGGAACAAAAATAGAAACCTTCCTGGCTTCTTCTGGGTGAGATGTGAAATACTCAATCCCTCATGTAAGTAGTAAGGGAGATGGATCCAATGGCAAAATGCAAAAGAAAGCACTCGGTAACTGGCTTTTTAATTTTGATTTTTTGGGGGAGGGGATAGAGGGTAAATATTGAACTAATGAATTATACGTAGTAATGACAGCAATTATTTATTAAGTGGGTACTTTGAGGGTCATATTGTTTATTAAAAGGTCGAAATTCTCTGTAGGTTAATAAATAATTGCTGTCATGCCCTCTAAGGGTCTCTGCTGCCTTAGGACCTTCCCTGCAATTCGGCAAATAGAGGGGAAAACCCTGGCCCCACAGGGATGTCTGTTGAGACCCTGCTCCTGCTGTTCTGATGGGTTGGCGCTCAGTCATTAGCTATTATTCCACATATTATGACTGTCATCCTTTGATGTGTGGGGTGATTGGGACACAGGAAGGCGAAGTTATCTGCATAAGGTCACACAGCCAGCAAGCGGCAGAGCCAGGATGTGAACTCCCATCACTCAGATCTCAAGCTACTGACTTCTCCCCTGTAGAAATGTCCTGGGTCCCATTGCAGACACAGAAACAGACCTGGCCCTGTCCAAAGGGGGTTTACAATCCAATCAAGGGACGTTTTCAGCAATGGTAGTTAGAGGAACATCTGGGAAAATGAGTGCTTTTCTCTGAAGTTCTAGGGCAAGAGGGAGAGACCTGAAGATCTTGCTGGAGGTGAGCTGACGGGGGGAGCAATGCAAGGGGTTGGCCCAGCTAAGGGGCCCTTACAGGGGTCTCTGTTCATCGCAGGCGGAAGGCAGTGCTGGTTTGAGAGCCTCCTGGCTGCCTGGGGACTGTTCTTCCTCTAGTGGAAGTGGAAACATCTCGCCTTCGCTCCCCTGAGGCAAGGCAAGAAGCTCTCCCTGATTCACCCCACAACTGAAACTCTAGGATGATGCTTCTACCCTTCACATCATCTCTCACTTCTCTCCTTCCCTTCCAGGATATGTCGGGGAACAACGTGGTGCTGGGAAAGGAGCCCAGGACCAGGGTCAGGTCGGCCTCAGCTTCCTCATCTGTCAAATGGTATTACAAAGAATTGTAATAATATTAATGAGTTCCAGAATCAACAGAGCATATGGTCGAGAGGCTGGATTCAGACTGTAGCTCCCCTGCTTCCCTGCTGGGTAACGCTTGGCCATCACCACCCTTCTCTATGCCTCACTCGCCTCCTCCGTGAAGGAGGCAATAATTGTACTTACCCCGCACACACAGTTGCACCAATGATGCAAAGACTTAATATTTCTAAAACACCTAGCCGGTGCTCCATACGTGTCTGCCCCCACCACCGTGGTGTGCCAGGCATCGTGCTGCTAACCTGCTGTGTGACCTTAGGCAAAGTAGCCCTCGTCGTCCTCAACTGTCAGGCAACAATCACATTTAGTAAGTGTTAACCTCGTGTTAAGCACAGAGGTAAGGGTTTTGGGTGCATGATTTCATGTGATGCTCGTGGCAACCCCATGAGGTCACCACCATCATTATTCTCTGTTGCAGATGAGGAAACAGGCTTTACAAGCCACGATCTTAGCCCAACCTGGTGCCATCGGGAAGCTCCCATAAGTTAAAAGAGTAGCCAGAGAAACTTAAAGCACTGCACCTCCTCAAAGAACCGTTGCTGTGAAATCCAGTGTCCGCATCACCGCGTTGTTGTTTTGCCTCTTTAACATAATGGGAATTGCAGCTAACCTTTGCCACGTGCTGGCTGCCAGCATGACACTGTTGTAGGTGCCTTACCTGTGCCACCTCACTGAATCTCACAGCAACTTGTAAGGGAGACATTATTATTGGCCCCATTTCGGGGATGTGGAAACCGAGGCACAGAGAGGGTAAGTCACTTGCCCACGATCACACAGTTGCAATGTGGCCAGGCAGAAATTCTAATCCAATCAGAAGACAGGGAGTTTGGGTCTGGGAGTGAGCAGAGCTCACCCTGGGTTTGTTTATTCCTAAAATATTTTCCATCATCCCACTTCAGATAAAACTGAACACACCTCTTTCAGATCTTCAGTTTTTCCCAGGACCTTGACCCGGAGCTACACAGCAAGGTCAGTATTTTCCTACCATGCAAATATTTCTATTCACTATTGCTGACCCCGCCCATCTACATGCACACTTCAGGTCTGTTGCTAGGATCATGGCAGTGTTTGAGTTGAAAGGTTTTTTTTCCCTCCGGAGACCCCAATGCAGGACACGGTCGAAGCGACTCATGCCAGCTGTCTTTGATGCCTGGAATTGCATTCTGTGTGCCCAGTTGCCTTGGCATGCCAAGTGTGGTTTGCCGGGAACAATGTGGTACCCTGTCTCCCACATGCGTACACACACACTGGCACGCTACATATTCATAATCCCTGCACACATGAGCACGGGCCAGGGAGGGTAGGCAATGCACGTGCACACCCCAAATACACATACTTCAAAACTTTGAGAAAGGAGAAAGTTCATAAACCCAGAGGAGAGGTGTAGCCGCCCCAATAAAATGTGAGGTTTGTATTAGATCATACAAACAGAAGCCCAATTTCTCCTCCAAGTCCAAGCTCTCACTCCCTCTCTGAATAGAGCTAAATGTGTCACTAGTCTGTTCCCCCACCACCACCCACCTCCACCATCATAACATCAAACACCATTTTTTCGGTATGTTTGACGGTAAAAACTAATTCGTGTCCGTAATAGATCTGTAGGCTGCCTGGGAGTATCACTTTTACAGATGATGCCAAGTTAGTAATGTATTTTGGCCATTATTGTCGTATGCTTGACCACTAGCAGAGGACAGGATAAACTGGTACCCGTAAAAAAAAAAAAAAATGTTCAAAGCATTGGCAGGGTCTTGCTTTCAAAAGTGCAGCTCAGCTAAAAATATATGTCAGTGAGGTCCGCTGCGGCAAAGCACACCATTTACCTAACCCAAGGCATTTGGCCTCGCTCCGGTTTTTTTTAAAAAAAAAGAAAAAGAAAAAAGCTCTTCAGGTTTATTTACTGAAATTGTCATTTCTTTTCCCCCAGAACTTTAATCAGCCACACAGAGCACAAAACCTACATTCAACTCCGATTTTATGACACGAGGCTAACTCCTCCTACGCATATTTATTTCACTTAACTCTTGCGGTCCTGCCCTCTGGGCAGTGCCCACCGCTCTAGGCGGGTTGGCCTCCGAAAAACACATCGCATTGCCCGCTTCCCCCTCTTGAAGCCTGCTTCATTAGCGTGCAGCCGAGAGCCCGCCACAACCCCGACCAGATGGCTATTTTCATATCAGATTCTTATACATTAAGCCCCTCCCGTAAGGTCCAAATAGTAGGATTCCAGGGCTAAAGCCGAGGGGAGGGGGAGAAAGAGAAACTCGGAAAGTGGAGGGTAATCAGATCGCCAAACAAACTGATGGTACATTGCACTTAAAAGAGCGGAGGACTGTATGCATCAGGCACATCAAAAAAAAAAAAAAAAAAAAAAGGGAGGGGGGTGGTTAAGAAAGTTGTTTAAATGTCCCCGGGGGCATCTGCCGCTCTAACTGTTAAAAAGCAAAAATCCTCATTACTATATCTCTGGTATAGTAAAATGTCAAGCGCCTTCTCCTAAAAGAAAGAAAAAAAGCTAGATGGTGATGGTGATGATGGTGATGATGGTGATGGTGATGGTGATGGTGATGGTGATGATGGTGATGGTGATGGTGATGGTGATGATGCAGCTGAATGGCATCTGCTGTCAGAAGCCGAGCGCTGGAATGGTTAAGCGGCCAGCGGTTAGTAGCACGAATCTCTCCCACTGTCCCGAGCATAAGGACATAAGATCTCCTTAAGACAGATCTGCCTGGGGAATCCCGCCCGAGGGGCCTCGTCTCCCCTCCCCCCCCCCGCCCCCTACCTGCGCCCCTAGGAGCCCGCAGTCCCCGGGCCGCCCCGCCGCCTCCGCCACCTCCGCCAGGAGCTGAGAAAGCGCTGCCCGAAAGGAGCAGAAGGGACAGGGCTGGGAGGCGGGAGGAGGAACAGACGGAGCCAGAAGGCGAGCGGCTTACCTTGGTCCACAGACCCCATGATGCGGAGGGGATGGCAGTGCCCCGGTCTGAACGCAGCCTCTCTCTGCATCTGGCGGGGCTGGGGGCTCGGCGCGCCGCGGGAGCGGGAGGCGGCGGGGCCGGGCTGCTACAGCATGCTCGCCGGCAGGCCCTGGCGCGGGAGCCCGCGAGCGGCCCGGGAGCTGCGCGCCTGCCGCCCCGGGCTGGGGCTCCGACCTCCGGGCGGGGGCTCCCGGCTGGGGCTCCCGGCTCCCGGCTGGGGCTCCCGGCTGGGCTCCCGGCTCCCGGCTGCGGCTCCCGGCTGCAGCTCCCGGCTCCCAGCTCCCGGCTCCCAGCTCCCGGCTCCCGGCTGCAGCTCCCTGCTGGAGCTCCCGGCTCCTTGCTGCAGCTCCCGGCTGGGGCTCCCGGCTGGGGCTCCCGGCTCCTTGCTGCAGCTCCCGGCTGGGGCTCCCGGCTGGGGCTCCCGGCTCCTTGCTGCAGCTCCCGGCTGCGGCTCCCGGCTCCCGGCTCCCGCTCCCGGCTCCCGCTCCCGGCTCCCGGCTCCCGCTCCCGCTCCCGCTCCCGCTCCCGGCGCGGCTGGGCGCTCGGGCTTACTCGAGAGGGAACGCGACTTCCTTCCCCGCGCGCCGTGTTTATAGGCTTTCAATGCAGTAAAATAACGGGATTCCCTCACTGTTTCCTCCTGTTTATCCAGCGCCATGGAAACCGCTGGATCCCGGCCATCTCCAAAACTAAGGGCTTTCCTGCAAACTTCACACTCAGGAATCCATGACGTCGCCTCCTCCGCGGCCAGCCAGCTCCGTGGCTCCCTCGGCCGCCAGCACAAGTCCCTGATTGTTCGGGAGAGAAGTCGGGGAGAGGGAGCAGAGGCGGGCGACGGCCAGGAGAAGGGGTGGGGGCTTGCAGGAGCTCCGCGGCCGTCTGCACCGACACCGCGCCCCGCCCGCCTGAGCCCCCCCCCTCCCCGCTTTGCAAGCGGGCCTCTCGCAGGGCAAGCTCCCCAGGGCTCCAGCCCACAGCCCAGGTGGTCAAGGCACCTGGACACCGACCCAGGGGCCCTTCCAGGTCCCTCGGGGCCTCCGGCTGCCCAAAGTTTTTGTCTTGGGGGGATGGTGGGGAGGAGGAAGGGGAGGAGGGGGAGGGGAGGAGGGGGAGGAGGGAAAAGAAATAAATAACGGTGCCTTGTGTCAACTCTCCAAGATTTTTTTTTCGAAGGGTTTATTTTTAGATTCATTTAGAAAACCCAAGGTTTCCAGTGATGCTCAGAGGCTCCAGCAATAATGAAATGGCCAAAGGGACGCGGGAACCAGGCAACCCATGTGTTTACACATGCTCTGAATAAACAGGAAAATAAAGGGAAGGGATGTCATGAACTTTGCACACTCTCCAGAAGAAGGTCCGTGGGATGCCACGCGTGGCTCCCATCAATGGGCCACAGACCCCAGAAGGTGGCGGGCTCGGGGGCGGGGGGGCGCAGCTGTCAAGATGCTCTCTCCCGTAGCCTGGCTCTGCTTCTTCACCTGCACGCCGCGTGGGAGATTCCGGGCCCACCGTGAAAGCCCAGCTTTGAAAGTGGCCATTGAAGATACTGTTGATAAAACTGTGGGTAGCACCAGGGCGGGTGACTCATCGGCACTGCCACCCCCTCACAGACAGACTGGACCTTTAATAGGCAATGCAAGGAGCTGGCTCCGTCTGTGGGACCACTCTGTTTGCCAGGCCTCGGCCCACGACAGCCTGGCTGGGCTCTGGACATGACCACTTCTGCTGCAGATGCTGCCCCTCAAAGAGCCACTGGGGAAAAGCCTCCACCCGCAGCCCAGCCGGCCTCACCCACCCACCTCACCTGGAAGCCTGCATCAACCACATGGCCTCCAGCGGTAGCACTGACAGGCTGCTCTTCCCCCAGGAGCCGCCGCAGCTGTCCACCTGCTGTGCCCGGGGGCCTTGTACTGCCTACTTTGAATTCCTTGCAGCTGCCCTGCAAGCAGGGCATCCTTCACCCCCACTTCCCGAAAAGGGAAACTGAGGCACCCAGACAGCAGTTGACTCCCCTGTTGCTTTACTTGGCCAATGCTGGAGTGCAGCCTGTAAGGCCAGGGAGGAGATTCTTTTCAGCGAGTCTGTTCAGGAAGCTCCGATGCCTGAGGACTCTGCACCCCCTCGTCTGAGGCAAGAACAGGGTGACCAGCCATCCTGGTTTGCGAGGACTGGGGAGGTTCCTGGGATACAGGACTTTCAGTTTCAAAACTGGGAGAGTCTTGGGCAAGCTGGCACAAGTTGCTCATCCTAGGCATGAATGAAACTCAGCCCTCAACTTCCTTTTGCAGCGATCCAGACAACAGGCAAGACTGTGAACCAGTCTTCTGATGATGATCACTCTACTTAGAAATACTATGAATAGCAAGTCCTAATTCGGCACCTACTGTGTGCCCAGCCCTGAGCTGGGTCGGCTATAGATTCCTACTCTTGACGCTTTGCAAAATAATGCCGTGACCCTGGGAGGGGCTGGCCCTGCATTGTCTAGCATGGTCGCCTCTAGCTGCATGCAGCTATTAAAATAGAAAATAATAACAAACATAAACATCAGTTCTTTGGTGCATGAACCACATTTCAGGTGCTCAAGAGCCACCTGTGGCTATTTGCTACCAAGTTGTACAGTGCAGAATAGAACGTTTCCATCACTGTAGAAAGTTCTGTTGGGCAGCACTGCGTCAGATAACCTGAAAGGCAGGATAAAGGAAAGGCTCTAGAATCAGACTCTTGGCTCTGCCACAGTCACTTACCCGCTCTGTAAAATGGGGAAACTCATAATGCCTTGCTCAGAGCTGATGAAAGAATGTGATGCTAAGAACAGTATAAGCCATATAATAAGTGCTTGAAATATATTCTAAAACAAAACAAGGGTGCCTGGGCAGCTCAGTTGGTTAATCATCACGCTCAGGTCACGATCCCAGGGTCCTGGGATCAGCCCTGTGTCTGCTTCTTCCTCTCCCTCTATCCCTTTCTCCCCACTTGTGTTCATTTTCTCTCTCTCAAATAAATAAATTTTTAAAAAATATATTGTATTTATTTATTCATGAGAGACCCAGAGAGAGGCAGAGACATAGGCAGGCTCCTGCAGGGAGCCTGATGCGGGACTCAATCCCAGGACTCCAGGATCACGACCTGAGCCCAAGGCAGATGCTCAACCACTGAGCCACACAGGTGCCCCTCCAATAAATAAATTGAAAAAAAAAACTTCAATAAAACAAAACAAAATGAAAAATCAAAACAAAACACCGAAAGCTTCCTATGGTCAATCTGTGAATAGTGCTTAGGTTGGGATTGGGACTGTTTGACCCGCTCATCAGTGCCCTTGACCTCCAAAAGCCTCTCTCTATTAAACAACCGTGCTGTCCAGGTCGTGCAAGAGGCTCTTTGCAGAATCCTATTCGTCTCACCTTCCCACTGGGCTCGATGCTACGAGCCCCATTCACAGATGAGCAAACTGATGCTCGGTGAGTTGCCGTTCACACGACCAGCTAAGACTGGAACCCAACTCTGTTTGGCAGCAAAGCCCATGTTCTTGGCACCACGGCCCCTGCTCCCAGAGGCCGCCCTGGGAGCCGAGGTCTTAGAGGCCAGAAGCGAGGCAGGAAACTAGCACGCTGGGCCTGCTTCTGCCAGACTCATTACCGGGGATAATTTTAGACTCAGTCCCACCCAGGCTCAGGCCTCAGAGGCCAGTGCCCATCTCCACAGGTGCCCAGCGCTGCCGAGAGGGGGCCGCCTCTTGGAACTCGGTGGAAGCAGCATTAGCCACATTTTTATGGAGCCCACTCTGTCACAGTTAAGCATTTTTCCCTTTTAAAGCACTTTCATGCTGCAAGGATTGGAGCCGGGGGAGTCGAGGCTGAGTCACCTAATTTGCCCTTATGGGCTACAGCTTTCGGCTTCTTAGTTTAGCTATTCGGCTCCTCAGACAATTTCTTTCCTCTCCCAGTGCCAGGGCAAGAAATATTTTGTCCTTTTGAACTGAACCACCCACTGTTTTTCACTTCTCTCGAGCACTCTCCCTTTTTTTTAAGGGATGCTCCGAGGGGGGTGGGTGGGGAGCTTCCGCCCACTAAATTATCCACGAAAACTCCCAAAATAGAAGCTCTCAGCTGGGGTGGGAACGGGCCAGCATATGAGGAAAAAGCGAAAAAGAAGCTGAATCAAAGCAAATAGAAGGAGTCCAGGTGGCCGTGGGGAGAAAGGCCCGGGAGACTGCAAGGCATCTGGGCTGCAGGAGACCTTGAATCACCGGGGAAGACTTTTATTAGACTCTCTTCCCCCCAATGGCCCCATAAATAAGAAATGCAGGTATTTCTGCTGAGACACCACTTACTGGTGCTGCCCCGACAACTGATTCAACACCAGGCACATTTAGAAGGGCTTGGGCTTTTTTCCTGGGTCCCCCGGCTGCATTTATAGCTCAAGTGTCACCTCCGCCTGCCGGTCACCTTGACCCACAGCAGCCCTTCCTGGCTGACAGGTATTCAGCAGGTTAGCATCGGTTCAGACTGCCGCACGTCCCAAGCTTGGGGAGCGGGGCTGACAGGTGCATGCAACCCAGAACTGCAGGGTGTGTTGAGCCAGCCACCCCCGTGGACACTGGCTGAGTGGCAGGAGCGAACTCATGCAGTCGCCACCACAGCCCTATGATTATCCTTTTGCAGAGAGGAGGAAGCTGCAGCACGGAGGGGTTATACAGCTTGCTTCTGGCTGCACCGCCGGTGAGCGGCAGGTGACGTGAGCGGCAGGAGACGTGAACCCCGAACCACCTGCTCGAGAGCCCGTGTTCTTGCCCACGAGGCTGCGCTGCCTCTCGTTTGCTCTGAGAAACTCCCCCAACCAAACACCTACTCGCCTACCAGCCCACTTCATGCACCTGAGTGGCGGGAATGGGAAGGGACACACCTGGAGGATGCCAGCCTGGCCTTGCCCTTGGCCGAGAAGGCCCCCACCTTGCCATGGGAGCCCTGGTGAACTGGAGCAGCACCCTAAATGCTGGAGACCCTCCCAGACGGTGGGAGGTGGGGGGTCTGGAGAGCTTTGCCCAGGCTCCTCTACCTCCTAGCTGTCTCCGCCAGGAGCCCAGTGGTCGGTGGTCGTCATCCTTAACTCTGTCCCTTCCCTCCACTGCCACACGTCTCCCCCTAAAAAGCTCTTGAGTCCATCCACCTCGCTTCCTCCGCACACTGCCAGCCCCGCCAGGCACCCTCATGTCTCCCTCCCCGCTGTGTCCCTGGTCCTCTCCAATGCCCGCCCCCACTTAAGTCCACTCTTGTCCTGCATGACCTTTCCTAACCCCCAGAATCTAAAGGAGGCACCCCATCCTGTCATCCTCCCCTTCTTAAAACCCTCCACTGGGGTAGAATCACCTTCAGAATAAAG